TATCTATCTCATCCCAGACTCCCTCAGGCTTGATAGGGTCGCCATTCACTGTTGGAGAATTCACCAAAAGACACCTAGGGAGAAAGGACTTATGGAAAGAACTTCACCGCGTTGTCAGTGAGATTTCCCACAGTGCTGCGGGGGTGTATCTTGTTAGAGCTCTGGGTACTATCCGATTTTAATTGCAATGGTTCAGGTCCCATCCCTAATCATTTTGTGAGGTTGCCATTCATCCTTACAAAACCCAGTGGCAGTTATATTAGAAAGGAAAATGAAATGAAATTTCAAGTATCCCAGGGTGGTAAATAAGAGAATCTGCAGTTTTGAAGCACAGCAGGAGACTGTATGCAATTACAAGGGAGGTTGCTAGTGCATTTCATTGCTGTTGAGAAAAGAAAATTTCTTTTTTTTACGAGTGTTTCATGCTTATGTTTTGGGGCCTTGATATTCAGGACCTTGGTCATTTCCTGTGTTGGGTACTAGTTAATTCTGGTCAATTGGTCCTTCCTCTCAAGTCAGCTGTTTCTAGTGCCTAGGATTCTTTTGGAGCCCTGGTGACACAGTAGTTAAGAGCTTCAGCCGCTAACCAAAACGTCAGCAGATTGACTCCACTAGCCACTCCTTGGAAACCCTATGGGTCAGCTCTACTCTGTCCTATAGGGTCTAGTTGACCATCAGCTAACTTCTTTCCTACTGTCATGGATTGAATTGTGTCCCCCAAAAATATGTGTCAACTTGGGTGGGTCATGATTCCCAGTATTGTGTGGTAGTCCTCCATTTTGTGATCTGATGTAATTATCCTCCATTTTGTGATATGTTGTAAATCCTAACCTCTATATGTTAGTGAGGCAGGATTGGTATGTGTTGTATCTTGAGTCACTGCCTTACAAGAGGGTGTGACTTAAGTCATGCCCTTACTCAAGTCACACCTTTGCTTTAGTCACACTTTTTATCTAAAAGGAAAGAGATAAAAGGAGAAAGAAGCAAGCAGAGGGGGTTAGGGACCTCACTACCACCAAGAAAGAAGAACTAGGAGCAGGGCATGTCCTTTGGACCCAGGGTCCCTGTGCTGAGAACCTCCTAGATCCAAAGGAAGATTGATGCCAAGACATATGGAGATCTCCAAGGAATCCTGGGCCCACAGATATCGACAGGAGAGAAGGACCTTTCCTCAGAGCCAACAGAGAGAGAAAGCCTTCCCCTAGAGCTGGTGTCCTGAATTTAGACTTCTAGCCTCCAAAACTGTGAGAGAATAAATTTCTGTTCGTTAATGCCATCCACTTGTGGTATTTCTGTTACAGCAGCACTAGATAACTAAGACACCTACCTACTGATGAAATCTTACCCTAAAAACAAAATTTAAAAAATAGGAGGAGGACATGCAAGGAATGAAGTTCTAGAATTATTTCCAATCAGCCGAAACTGAATATGCACTCTTGAAAATTTAATCTTTTACTGACTGAAAAGCCATTTGTAAGTTTGACAGAAAGGATTTATTTAAATAGCTGTGCTTCATGCTCCCTTAGACCTCAAGATTTTAAGGACCTTTCAGCTTGAAAGTGGCTATGG